ATAATTTATTGACTATTTTACTTTTTATTTTGTAACTTTGTCGAAAAACATATATTGACAAAAATATTGTGTTATAATTAAGTTATTTAGATTTACTTTATTAAGTTTTTTTATAACAGACTTCCATTATCTTTGAAGAAAATAATTGATGTGTATATATCAAAAAAAAAAAATTAAAAATAAACAATTAAGTACCACTAAATTTTGTGTATACCTATTTCATAAAAATATAAAGTAAATTACATATTAAAAAATATGGAAATAATTCTGTGATCAAAAAAATCAAATTAATTTGTACAAATAACGCAAGAAAACCTGACATTTAAAGAATGCATAGAAGTTTTGAAAGTGAACAAATTAAATATTTTCAAAAGCATTAAAATATTCAAAGCTTCTCATTTCTGACAATGTTGACAAGTCGTCTTTGTATACTGAGTGAGAATACTCATTACTTATTTCGTTTTAACAGAATAAATCATAAAAAGTTTAAATGACTTGCATTTTTTAGCTTAATTTCAAGATTTCGAATTTTTACCTCTTCTTTTTTTTAGAAGAAGAATTTATATAATTATTTTGGTGTAATTATAATTTATTTTAAGATAATTTATACGTATCAACCAGTACTCAATTGTTATGATTAAATATTAGAAATTTAAAAAAGTATCCATTTTCAGAATTAAATTTTATCCAATGAAAACAACATTTTTGGTTTTCTTTTATATGATGTGATGTGATAAATTATACGTTTTTCATATTATTAAAACAATATTATAAGTATTGGAAAGATGTTTTTGTTTTGTTTTGGGATAAAATAAAATATTGTTCTAGATGCTTCAATTTAATAAAAATAATATTTATAAAGTCGTTTTTTTATAAAAGTTTCAAAACTAAGTTAAAAAAAATATGTATTAAAAAACTAGTACAGCAGGACGCGGCAAAGTGAGAACAAGTTTAGATAAAACTTTTACAATGATTATAACTTTATAATGCTTCAATGCAAACCTGTTTAATTTAATAATTTTAATGAACTTCAGAAATTGAAACTAATATTTTAAAATGTAATGTATATTTTTATGTAATAACACATATATTTGCTGAATTTTGCCAAAACTTTTTTTTTTACCAAAAAATATATATTTTAACTTATACGAGTGTTTAAATTTATTGACAATTTTTTTTTTTTTTGTCATCTGATAGTGAATTACATAAACTATACTCAATATAGTATTATAATAAATTCAATATAAAGGACGCATGTTTTACGGAAAAGGAAAATTATATTGAAATATTCGTTATGATGTTAAGTGAGCATACAAATATTTTAACTTCTTGAATTAACAAATTATAATTTAGAATTATATCTATCTATCTATCTACGTCCATCGTTTCAAAAAACTAAACCCTGTCCACTCTGTGGTCTCCAACCTATTCAACCAGAGATCTAGAATAGGTATATCATAATATGAAAGAAGATCGCGCGACATGGTTGTAAACCAAATAACGCCATAATTCTTTCTTACTCAGTATAGCACAGACCTACTTCTACTATTCCATTTTAATTTAAGGTACACAACAAAGCACCTTCTGGTATCACAACGTCACAAAGTGAACAAAATAAAGAACCCAGCTGGGACCAATGTACGACACTCTGCCGGTTAAGGGTCAAGCGCGCATCGGACTAACGCAAAATTAGTGTCTCACAAGCTTAGAAACCAAGCCAAATCGAGTATGACATCACGAATTTGGCATGCAAGGCCGACAGCATAAACACCCAAATTTCCCAGTTTACCAATGTTAGTAAGACAATCTTAGACTGGTCACGATCGAAAAAAATACCTATCTGTTATTGCCTATTAAGCAAAGAATCTCAAACCTGATAGGTCTGTTAGGGCCACTAACTCGTTCAACTAAAAACCTGGAATAGGGATATGAGATCCTGCTTTAGGGGCAAACTTCAACAGATAAGAAGTTTACCCGTTGAGTAAAAAAAGATAAAAAAAAATTCAAAAAGTCACCCCAACGACACGAGTACCTCATGCTGCCTTGAATGGGATGGCTTCTACCCCATGGAAGCCAATTGGAAAGAAGATGTAAGCCAGGGCTATTCATCATTAAAAAGCCTAGACTTGGACAAACAGGAATGTAGATAGAGGTGAAAGGAAAGTGGCATGAGCCTAAGGGACCCAAGCCAGGGAGACGAGGAGGCTCCCATATTGTGGGGGACGGCGGTATTCACCCGACTACCCAAATACCCTAGTCGTCCTATTAAACGTGTGCCAATTTAGCAGGGTACCGTGGAGGACTGTTACAACTAGTCCACCCAAGAGGTGACGGCTTAGCCCAAGAGTTATCAGGCTCTTAAGTGAGCTAGGTAGCCATACCTCTCGCCAAGTTATGGTCGCGGCGACTGTGTGTACTGCAGTCGACTGGTGTCTCGCCATGATCTCGGACTTAGATACTAGCGGCTAACGTATTTTCGTACTTTCTCATCGTGCCAGTCTTTGGTGTTGTGGCCGAAACAATTTGTACATCCAAGATAACGGATCTCTTGCCTCTAGTCTCGTCATCAATAGTGGCGACGAGGTCCGGCTTAAGATTACCATCTCGTAACGCGTAGAGATGCTCCCGCTCTACTTGAAATCCTTTATCAGTAAGCGCTCCAGACGAAATAGTCGTGTCGAAGGATTCTCTCACCATGAGTTCTAGGGCACACTTGCACGATGTGCGCAAGGATCTCTGAGGGCGTAGCAAATCCACGGCACGTCCGATACGCTTGCGGCTGGCCATGATATTAATCCTAATCTTGGCGCACTGCCAGTCACGGCCAGTTATACCATCTAGCTTGCGCGTGTATGCTGTCGATTCCCAGCTACCAGGACAGAGCTTAAGCTCAGCACCGTCCACCTAACTATGGAGGAGTTCTTCATGACTAGTCATCGCTGCGACCCTTTCAACACGGTGACGGAGGGTTGCTACCACACTCGCTCCGAAGAGACGGAATGCTTCACGCACCACCGGCACCTGTGAATGTTCGAGCTTAGTCAAACGTTCGAAACAATTTTTAGGAACAAATCTTTCGAAATCGGGCACCCCTAGCCCCCAGATGACGTAGGGGCGTGGATGTACGCATTGGGGCACGAAGTCGCGAGATCCAGTCATCCCCGAATCGTGCGTCTAGTCTCGTGACTTAATTGTCTTAACTTACAGTCGGGAAGCTTCGTAAACGTCAGTCCGTGAACGAACTTCGGGATTACTTAGTCCCGTGCGATTGCAAGCCTCATTTGCGGCGTCATAGGGGCGGTTTCGACTGCCTCCAGAGCGCTGACAAAAGACGTGCACTTGAATCCGGATAGGGAATTTCCCTGAAACTCAATGCCAAACACACACATCAAGTCACATTTTTTACACTCTAATGAATATTTTACAAATCGCTTAAATTTAGACTGACTTATTCAGTAGAGGAGTAGTTATAATTATTAAAAACTGTATGAAAAGTAAAGAACTAAATTTACAAAAGCATCTAGAAGTTAATTACTCTCAAAAATAGATTACAACACAATTGTCGTAAGACAACAATTATAATAAAAAGGGAGAAAGGATAGACAAAATATGAGTAAATATTGTAGAATAATTTAGGGCGTGGTTAATCGAAGGTTTGAGTCTCGCAATTATAGCATGAAAATCTGTTTAAACAATCTTATTTGATCGTTGTTTTGGTACTATAGTATCCATATTGTTCCAATATAATATTCATGTGATAAATAAAACAATACCAAAGTATCGTAAATAATAGATTATTGTAATTTATTATCACTTTTATATTAATACAGAAAAAAGGACAGTCATGAATAGACAATACAAAAATAATAATAACATGAATATATTAATAAACACAAATTAAACGTTAATATAATTATCGATATTTTAACATAAGAGAAGATCATCACTCGAGAAGCCAGCGAAGATCACAATGTGTCAGTTTAGGCGTACGATCGAAATAGGCCGGCAGCCCAGTGTCTTTTTTAATGGGATGTCATTAAATAAGTCATCATCGCCTAGTACTATTCCTAGTTCGTCGTGTTATTCATTTTTGGGTACTCATCATAAACTAAATGTAGATTATATTGCGTCTTATTTTTATTATGATATTTATATAGAGTACAATAATGTTTGTTTATTAAACTATGGCATACTTGATGGGACAGGGCTGATATGTATGAAACGTGATTGTATCAACTGTATGTTAAACTGTAATGTAGAAGAGAGAATATTGATTGTATATAGTTTTTTGTGTGGTATGGTGTATTGTAAGATAAACTTTCTAGTATTGAGAGGTTAAAAGAAAGGAATGGTTTTATGATAAGACCATATAATACAATAATGTACAACTCAACGAAACTCAAAATTAAACAAATACTCAATCCTATCTTCAACTTAGCAATACGACTTTCTATTAGAGCCTTCCGCACTAGTCCTAAAAACAGTACCTTATGCATTTAAGAGTTTACCATTGCAAAACAGAAGAAACAAAATATCTTCCTTCGATTTTGTACTCATCAACTCACTTCTATATAAATACATAGTCAAAAATATTATATTGGTAACTTGAATGGGACATTCAAGTTACCAATCTTAAATGGTGTCTTCTCAACAAGCTAAAAATATTAAGAAAACTATAAAAGTACAGTCAACGACATAAACGATATATAGAAAAATAAATACCCTACAACCCGTGTAAAAATAGGATACACCCAAACCCATGGATACTTATTCAAACGAGAGAAACAATCTACCTCCTATCTCTAGATCTACTCTTAAATACACTTGTTTCACACAATTACGCAGTGGAAATAAATAAAGTATGATATATTATAACAATCCGCTTATAATATAATGATTTATAATAATAATGAATTTGGGCGTCCCCAACTTTAAAATAACATTAAATAACAATTAACAATATTTGTTACAATAATTACATTAATAATAATAGATCCGACCTGGTCCGCAAATATGCTCGGTGATCACCTTTCCATGCCGTTCACTTCCTTAACGTCCAGAATAGCAACATATGACCAATTTAAACGTAACGGTAATGGGCCGCCAGAGAGTACCCGTAAATTCGCCAACTAGAAATTGACCAGCCACCAGTCCATCAGATGACTTAACATAGTATTACGCGAACCGCAGAAAATATGCGTGAATCCGCCGAATTAACAATAACGTTAATCACAATAATAATCCGAGCGAGCGACATAAAAACCATGTGCTCGGGGCACCGCCGACCGAAAAGAAAAAACGAGGTTAAAAAAAATAGTAGTCCGAACAACACACAAAAACAAAAACGTGTTCGGGCAGCCGCCGACCGATGTTCACCGAACCGGCTCCACTGATAAGGCCGACAGTGGTATCAGCTGACCACGGAGGCGGCACTACTGCCTGGCGTGAACACTACTCCTGTACCCTTTAATATAAATAGTACACAAGTATTATTTTTCTAGGGTAAATACAAATATTATATAATATTAATTTCTCTTCATTATTAGCGTGTTACAATGGGACTATTTTATTAGTGCTTTAGTTGCACACAAACACCGTTTTAACATTGATCACAGTCTGTGCACCAACCTGAGTAGATGACCGTGACTGTTGCATTTTTTATCACATTACTTATATGCATAGTAAAGCACGCTATTTTTCCAAATGTTCAGGGTATACGACGGAGTTATTACAAAATAGATTTTATAATTAAAAGCATGTTTAAAATATCCCATATTATCAATGTAAATTTTGAAATGTTTGGTGTTTTAAATACGTTTAAAACATTGCATATTTAAAACGTAAGAAACCTCTAGTATACGCCTTACTCTCTCCAAAACACCATTATTTTGTATTGTCATTTTAAAAACAAAAATTTTTCAAGAAATAATATAGATATGTATAATTGATAAGGAAATAATTCTCCTTGTATTTTTTACAATTTAACCATAAATCAATTGAAAATTTACATAATTTTTTTTATTTATATAGTATGAAACGTAGCCGAAAATCTTTAATTATTGAACATATTTATCCAATTAATATAATACATTCGATTAAAATTAAAAATATATTGTAACACAACGTAATACCTGTTTCAAGTTTCCATCGAGATAAAACTATTACACACAACGTTTGTAAAGATAATTCTTAACTTTAATCACTTTAATGAAATCATTCTTGTTCAATGCTCTCAATTAAATTGCACTTACCTGCTGTTTTACATTAAGCAGTCTCATTCACCTCTTCGTTTGTCTTATAGGTTTAATAAGTCCTTCTCTGACTTGTCACGAAAACTATTCATTGTACACAATAATCTATTGTTAATTAGAATACATTTTCCAGCATATTCAATGGTACAAAATATTTATATATGTATATATATATAAAATATACAAAATAATGGTACATGAATATTAATATGACATGCACATTAATACACAATTGTCTAAAAATCAGCTAGAGAATAATTTCACATCACATTATACTGAAAATGTTTACTTTTAACATAGTGTTAATATGCATTTAAATATTATGTTGATAAAAATATTGTTGTAACATTTAATTATATAATTAATTTTTTTAATTTTAATTCATTTTAATGATAAGCAGTGAGGTAATTAGGGCTTTGTCATGGGAGGAAGAGATTACTAGAAAAAAATGTTCACTACCACTTGAAACGAAAACAAAAATTGTATTATCCGTTTTCCATTAATTATAAGGTTCGACTATTGACTAACCCAACTATATGGTTTTCTCATTCAGAATATTCATGTCTTTACTTATTCTTTTGATTTATAAACAGATTTTGACTTTTGAATGAATAAAAATAAAAAAATCTTCACTATTAATTTAATTTTTATCATGGGGTATATGACTCTTACTCGTAATTATGATTGTGGCGATAAGCGTGAAAATATCGAATTAAAAGTATTGTTTGTATAAAAACGGCGTATAAATAATTTGTTGTAAAATATGTAGTAATACAAAAATAAGCAAAGGGTGTTAGGGTATTTTTGACCAAGTTTGGGTATTTGGGGATTTGGTCAATTCAAGAGCAACGAGGTTCTATCGGGGTTGTAGAGTCCGAGGGTTTAAAACAGTAAAGACAAGTAAATATAAAAAGATATGTATCAAGTTCCTCTCACAGAGGTATTAAACGCTGCGGTATTCTTGTAGTGGCCAGGGTCTTGGCCTCCTATCTGACACCTAGTCGAAGTATGTGACCAAGCACTAACTAGTTATTAATAATTAAATTAAATGATGTTTAAAAAAACTATTGCTTTACCATTCTTTACTCAGATTATTAATTCTAAATAATTGGGTTAATATGAATTTACTTACCTTTTTAGATATCTTACGTTCAGATTTATACTGTTCCTTTTAAATAAATAAATAAAGTATTGACGCAAAATAATTGTATTCGATTTCGTTTTAAAATGTACCGACAACACGGGATCGCGGCTAGTTTGATCAAAATAAATCAGATAGAAGAATTCTGAATTCTTTATTGAGTTCAGATCTTCAAAAAGGAGAGACAGAGACAGAGCTCACTGATGTGAAAGCAGAACTAAGCCTTTTTATATTATTTTTAATTGCCGCCTTCATGGGTTGTTGTTATCAGCGCTTTTAATGATTCTCAATTTATTGTATTAAATTAAACGTAACATGATAGTTATTTTAAGATAAGATGTATCGTAAACAATAATCAATTTAACATGTATATACATATATAAAAGCTAGTGTATAAAAGTGTATGTTATGACAGATAAATTAATTATTTATTTGTATACTAGTAATATAAAATACAGATTATACAATTTTCATTGATAAATAAAAATCAGGCCAACGGTTGATAAAGGAGGCGCGAGTCGTGGGGCACCGTGTATCACGAAATGACACGAGACAGTATTAGTTATTTTATTTCTTCATGATTGTTGTTTTGACTGTTTAGTTCTGTACATGGATACTTTAAACTATGTAATCTTTTAAATTTATACTTTACGTCAGAGGATCTCCGATGTATGTTCCTTGTTTGATGTATTTGTAGTTGCTCTTTTGTTACATAGTTATACATTGGTTTTGTTTCCATTTATTTCAAATTCTGTTATCCTTGCACTTTATATTAATTCTTCCGTAGCAAGTTTCATATCTGTGTTGAAGGATTGTCGTATTGCTTGAAATGTTAATGGATGTATCTACATTTTCAGTTATGAGCTGTCGTTTCAACCTCGTTGCAGAGTCTATCTTTAGAGCGATAGTTACAGGCTCGTGGTTATAACTATACTAGTACTAAAGCGTTTTATAATAATGATTAATATTACTGCTTGATTTCAATTTATACTATAAATATTACTTCAGATTCCCTCTACGCTACTAAACCTGACTGTTTTTATAAAATTTTAGCTCATTATTTATAATTTAATTAAATTAAATAAGCACTCCAAAATGTAATTTGAGTATCCCTATGATAATAAGAAGTAATAATAAAAAAATACTTAGTATTAAAAATAATAATATCGTTTTTATTCTTTTAAATTTTAAAATATGTAAAAATATGTTCAACTTATCAATAAATATTGTGGAATATTACAAAACAAATTACTGATATATTTTTGACAATGAATCAAATTCTATTTCTTTTTCATAGTAATTTTTAATAAATTCAGAGCTGGCAAATGAATCTTTAAGCATGTTTAATTGTCTTTTAGCAACCTGAAAAAAATGAATTTATTTAAAACTTTAATATTTAAATTAATATTTTTAGTTTGGAGAAATTTGAATATTGTAAGACTGTATAGTGAAGTGCAATAAACCAATAAAATGATACCTAAACAATAATGTTCACTGCACTGTTGTTGTCGATTCTCTAATAAATTATTAACAAAAATCAAATGATGAATGAAATTTTTACAACGATAAATACTATTAACAACAACACATTTCTCTTGAGTACAGATAAATCCACACAAAATGAATTGAATGATACACACACACACACACACACATATATATATATCAGTGTTGGGAAAGTTCCTTTTTAAATGGAACTCGTTCCGTTCCCCGTTCATTTTCTAAAATATGAACTCGTTCCAGATCCTAGTTCTTTATATTAAGAAGGAACTTGTTCCAGATCCATTTCCTCCAAAATAAGAACTCGTTCCTTTTATGTAACCAAGTTATTTAAAAAATTGTGGTAATGAGATCATGATAACGGTCATCAATGATTTTCATCAGCAGTCGAATACAAAACAAATTTGTAGTATTCCTTATTTAAAAGTATTCGAAAATTATATTTATAAGCAGGTAGTAAATGCTAACGACTTGTGTCAACGCGACCAATGTCTATTGTCTACATATAAGTTAGAAATAATAAATCAGAAAACCCAAAACCTTTAACATAAATTAGTTAACAAGAAACGACGATAATATTCGGTGCATTATTTAATATATGTACACATATATTAAATATTTACTGTATACCTACATGTGATAATAACTCTATTTATAGTCAATTGATTCATTTAAACAGCCTACGATCTCGGCTGGGTATATAGGGGACTTCCATTGTCAAAAGTCAACTAAAAATACCTTAATATTTTAATGTCTAGATACGAAGAAAACTACACTAAAACATGTTTATAAAAATTTTTAGGAACTGTAATTTCCGTTCACGTTCCTTAAAAAATGGAATTTGTTCATTTTCCTCATTCCTTTATTTTAAAAGGAAGCAGTTCCTAGCATCGTTCCTTCAAAAAGAACTCGTTCCAGGAATCCGTTCCTTTTGGAACCAGATCCTTCTCAACACTGATATATATATATATATATATATATATATATATATACACATAAGCTAATTAAATATGTATGTTTCTATTAAAAAAAAAAAAGTTAGATATCCTACAATGTATAAAGGATGAATTATTAAAATACTTAAAAGTGATTAAATCATAAATTATATATAAATAACAAATACAAAAAAAATTCATTCTCAAAATTATAATTATTTTACGAGTAATTGAGTAGTAATATATGTGAATACCGTTGATACTTAAATGGCAACAATAGGAAAGTGAAGTTGGGTAGCGTTATAATCTAGCGTTAACAATGAGTGTTGTGAGTCTGCTACAATGTATTTTTTTATTATTTTTTTATATCTTAGTATTTATTTAATTTATATGCTTTTGTAAATGCTTTATAACTTTTAAGTACACGATTAATATTGTAAATTTGTAATAATATTATAATTTATTTTAATATTCTGAAAGAGGAAAATCTGTGTTCTGTTCCTGTTGTTGCTCATTGATTTCCCACATATAGAGTGTTCAATAAGTAAGGAAATGGGGATCTGTTGTTCTCATTGTATGTAACAATTCACATGTTTCCTTACTTACTGAACACTCTATATATAAACATATATATATATATATATATATACAGGATGATTTTTTTATCATAACCCACTCAATTATTTACAGAATAAAAATAATTTAAACATTTTTTTTTATTATTATCTTTAGTTACACATTATTCTTGAATCATTAACTATGAAATACTTTTTAAGTTCATCCCTTATGCCTGGTAAGGGTGTCAACTTTGTTTTTTTAAATGGTAACTCATATTTTTAATTTAATAAAATGTTTGAGTTTTTAATTCAATAGTAAATGGCATTTGAATTTTTAATAAAACTTAATTTGTTTATTAGATATAAACATTTAAAGTTTAAAATTTTTGAGTTAATATATAGGTATAATACACAAGGGATTACAAATACAGGTAGCTAATTGGTTTTTTATGATATTGCTATCACAGTCACGAATTGTTTATTATCAATTATGACTATCAATAGATATACTTTTTGTATTGTCAGTTAGTGTATTTATAAACTCGCAACAATGTACCTTACTATCATTGATAATAACAATGCTGTGTACCTGCTAATATCGATGTCATAAAAAACCAATTAGCTACCTGTATTTGTAATTTCTTGTGTATTATACCTATATATTAACTCAAAAATTTTAAACTTTAAATGTTTATATCTAATAAATAAATTAAGTTTTATTAAAAATTCAAATGCCATTTACTATTGAATTAAAAACTCAAACATTTTATTAAATTAAAAATATGAGTTACCATTTAAAAAAACAAAGTTGACACCCTTACCAGGCATAAGGGATGAACTTAAAAAGTATTTCATAGTTAATAATTCAAGAATAATGTGTAACTAAAGATAATAATAAAAAAAAATGTTTAAATTATTATTATTCTGTAAGTAATTGAGTGGGTTATGATAAAAAAATCACCCTGTATATATATATACATTTTTTTTTATTACTGATGTATAAACTTACATCGGATGAAAGTTTTAAATGACTAGCAATAAATATAGAGTTGACTAATGAATCTATGTTATTGCTATCTTTTTCTAAAGCGTCCTGTAAGGTGATTTCAGCTTTTTTATAATCTCCTTGGCCAATATAACAAGCAGCTTGGCTATTTAATAATAAAGCTGTGATTCCATACTTGTCTGTCAGCTCTTGAAATATATAATAAGCTTCTTGTAATTTTTCTCCGCCCTACATTTTTTATAAAAATATTTATTAATAACAATAAAATTTAAAGTAAAGTTTAGTATACCAAAGCTAAATTTAACCAAGCTTGAGCCATTTGGGTCAAAGTAGCATCTTCATCTTTGTCTCTTAACTTTTTGAACTCTTTAGTAGCTAAGTCAACTCTATTCATTCTCAAGTAAATTATTAATGATAAAGCCATACTAAATAAACAATTATAAATGAATAACAATTAATATTATTATCTCAGTATTAAGTGCTTTTTTGACAGTATTATGTTAATTATTTAATAATTACATAATTATTAATATAATAAATTTGCAAATTAAAAACTCAATATTTGAGTTGATAAACTGCATTAAAAAAGAGATTATAGAAAAAAAAATCTGCTCTGAAAAAATGTAAAAATGCTCTTAATATTTTTCACACTAAGACATCAATATTATTGATAGTCATACTATATCAGTCATTCAATTCTAAAAAATTGAAAGTTTCCTCATTTACATCAAATTTAATTATTAAGTAGTCACAAGCACTAATCAAGGAAGCTCAATTTATTGAACAACCAACAAAACATACTTAAGTAATTATTCTTTTAAAAATGCCTCATTTAAATCATAATAATAAAAACCTTTGTCATTTTTTTTTATTAAAATATTAAGTTTTCATGCTTCAAAATTATTATATAGAATTAGTGTATTTTAAAATGCTGTAACGAATGATGGTCCATCAAATGGCAAAAATTCTTACTTATTGAACATCTATATATATATATATATACAGAATGGTCCACGATATTTTGACAAATTCAATAATTTTTGACCCAATTTATATTATATGTTGCTTTTTTTTTTTTTTTTTAATAATTTTTACACCTAAAAACTATAAAAACATTATAAAATATAATAGATTTTCAATTTATAAAAAAAAAAAATTAAAAATTTCTGAAAAGTGTAAAAAAAAATTTTAATATAGCTATTCTTTAGAGTAGAATTTAAGGGGAAATTTAATTAAAAAATATCTTATTAATTTAATAATTAAAAATTTCATTTTTAAGCTTCGATGTGAAGATGAGAAGGTATTAATTTTACAATGATGTGTTTTTTTTCTGATAAATTTACTGTAAATAGTAATTATAAAATTCCCTGATTGCATATTAATCTTAACAATTTCATGTTTTTCTATTTAATTTTGTCAATTTCAAACTTGCGTTGTTGAGCTAAATGTTACGGTAGTAAATTCATTTTTATTTTTTATTAAAACTTTCACTTAAAAGGACAATAAAAAGTAGGTCAAAATGATTAATTTTAACATATTAAAAATCAAAATCAATAATAATTTGAAAACAATTAATTTTAAAAATTATATAATTAAAAGAATTACTAATCTGGGTATAATTAAGGAAATAATAGAAGTTGATGTTGTTTTTGTAATTATCCATCAATTTTTTAAAATTAAACACTATCTACAGATTTGTATCGAAGCGTTTCTTATTATAGTGATTTTAATCACTGTCAGATTAAATCTATACTGGACCCAACTATGCAATGTCTCCACTATGCCGCGACCCCACTGTGCTGGGTTTTTTTTTTTATAAAAATTTGTATGGAAAAAGTTACATACCTATAACCAATATTTAATATGATAAGATTTTGTTTTCTTTAATTAAAATTTTTCATTAAAATCTACTTTACAGAATCATTGTCTTAAAATTTTTTTATTCATTTTTCATAAATTTTTTTAATAAATTGAAAATTTATTATATTTTATAATATTTTTATAGATTTTAAGTGTAAAAATTAAAAAAAAAATTAACATAAAACACTAATTGAATCAAAAGTTATTGAATTGTCAAACCAACCTTAACTTTGAGCTTTGAAGTGAATATAGAACCTTAAAATACCGTTTTTAAGATAAATTAAAATTTATCTTTAAATATAAATAACTTACGCTTCTAGAGTATCATCATCTTTAAGAACTTTTAGAGCTAATTCAAAATTATTTTCATGATTGTAAATTGTTGCTGCTACAATAACCAGAGAATGGTTAATTTCATACATGCTCTGAATTTCTTGTTCCAATGATTTTATGATTGAATTTCTTCAATAAAATGATTATTTGTAAGTTTTAGTTTAAATTTTAATTGAACACTTAAATTTTACATACTTGTCCACTTGACCTTGTAAATACTCAGCTAATAAACGAAATGGTTTTAATTCTGGTGTTGCATTATTTCCTATTTCTGCAATAACAATGTTAAATTTTTTTTGAGCTAAATAAGCACGGTACATATAAATATCACGTTGCAAACGTAAGTTTCCATAATTTGGCTGTAACATAAAAAATAATAAAAGCAATCAATATATCACCCCCTTTACGCAAAACACATTAAGACCAAAAATGAGTTATTATTAAAAAATGTATTACTAGTAACACTTATCCATACTAAACTCCTTTGTATAAATGAAATTAAAATTATACAAAGAATAAAGATACATCAACTACTTCAGGAAAACAAAAATTGAATAATTTCAAAAAGCTTATCTCAAAAATTAAAATTTTGGAATTGTGTTTTGAATGAATCATTATAGAATAACAGTTATATTCTCTTAGAGTACAAATATTCAATGCAAATTTTAACTCTCCATTTTGAATTTTAATGATTTAATTTTAATTATTTTTTTCTTGTACTTTTTTTCTTTTTAAACATCTAATGATGTACATAAACTCTTTTGGGTTTGATTAAAATGAAATGAAATACAAAAATTTTAAATTACAAATTTAACTCTTTACAATTATTTTTTTTAATAGAATTTTGACTAAATTTTTTTACTTAGGTATTACAAAATAATAGAAGTAAAATTTATCAAACCGGTTCTGATTGTGAATCAATAATACATTGTTGATAATTCCCAATATAAAAAGAATTTTTTATATCAAATAATTCATTAGCTTCATAGGATTCAGCTTGTTTAACAATATCTATAAAATAAAAAAACATAAGCATTTATTTCTACAAATAAAATAATAAATATTTCATAATCATATAACTTAGTATAACAAAATATTTCCAACAATTTTTATCGGATCATGATTGACAATATTATACATTTTGGAGATTGAGTTAAAACCACCACCTAAAATATTGATTGATCAAATTTATTAGTTTGGTTTTTATCAATCAAGCTGCTAGGTCAGAAATCTAAAACTAAAAAAATAACCTAATATGTACATAGGATTATATAGATTTCTTAATCAAAAATAATCAGACTAACAAATCAATGAAATCATTTATTTTTCTAAATAATGACTGTTATAAATTATATCTGTTTAAAACAGTTCAATCATTTTAATTATAGGAGGCGAAATATATCAAGATATTAATAAATTTAAATATCAATGCATGATAATTCATATGAAAATTTATTTTTAGACGGACTTTTCTCAAAGCAAAACTAATAATTTTTATTAACTTCCAAGTATAGAAACTTTTATAAATATTTCATATCATAATTTCAATAACACCCAATTTCTTTTACAAATATATTGTATTATAATTAAAGAATTACACTCATTTTATGGTAATGAAATAATACTTTAACATAGTTGTTTACATGAGTCTCAATCAAATTAATTGATTAATCTGCCAAGTAATATAATGAACAAAATATTAGTTACAGTAATTGAATTATCTCTTGAATTTTACATTAAATTATAAATTTAATGCAACTAAAATATCTCTCAACTCACCTGTCATTATAAATTAATTTTATAAAAATCTACGAAATTTTAATTGATGATTTAAATTTAAACAGTTTTACATGAGCAAAATTCGAAAAAGTTTCTACTTTGTAAGAACTACTAGAATTCTACTATCACTAATGATTAAACCACGTCGCCCTATGATAAATCATATAAACCTGACCGATTCCAATATTTTTGTGATAAGGAATTTGGTTAATGTAATATTGCTATGATAATTTAATTCCATGAAAAAATACTACTGAATATTTAACTCATTACTTCAAATAATCTGTGCATCGAACAATGTTCAACGAACATACAAAACAGATCATGGCTTTCAAAGATATCTTCTAACTCCATGTTACGAATAAACAAAAATGTTAAATTTTCTAAACTTTCCATTAGATAAAAACAGCTTTATTTCGTTTAAAAACTATTAATATAGTTATTTTACTAATAATTTTTACTTGTTGTTAAAGAAAAAAAAGAAACAAATATGTAATAACAATAAAATTGATCAAAGAAAATACAAATGAGTAAAAAACACTTACCACATGTGTAATATACAACAGTTACTAGAAACTTAGAAAACGATCAAATTATGACTTACGTTAAACTGCATATTGATTAAAAAGCTTGACAGCACACAGTGATCAAAAACGCATATTTACATTAACTATAATTTTAAAATAATTATTTTTGCTATTTTTTTAAATTTTTATATTAAAGTTAATTACAAAATTTTAAACCTCTTCATGTTAGTCAAATTTAACTCAGTATAGAGCGATTTAAAATTTATCTTCTTCTTCTTCCTCGCCTTAATCCCAGCTACTTGGGATTGGCCACCCTTATCCTAAACTTCCACTTGACACGATCTCCCACATCCTCTACGCTCACGTCAGCTGTCCTCATATCGCATTCAATAAGATCTCTCCATCTCTTTTTTGGTTTTCCTCTACCTCTTCTTCCTTCAACATTTATTTCTACATTTTAATAATTAATGGATAATATAATAGTTTTTGGAGAATTTATTCTTCACCTGAAGGACCAAGTCCTTAGTTGTGCATTTGTACACAAGCAAAATTAATAATTTATATACAAAATAAATTATAATTATTATTTGAGTCAATAAATTTTATGATATATTCGTTATACTTTATTATTGTACATTTATTATGGTATAGTATATGATTACATTGTTGAAAAATTTTAAATAAAAAAAAATTTGCTGTGCAATATTATTGAATCAAATGTACTGGCATTTCGTTGCAAAAATGTAATAATACATAATCGAAGATTATGTAATGGCATGAATGTGAATATTCAAAGCAATGCAAGCGCTTTTGACTTATTGTAATAATGGAAGCAACCTGAAAAATCAAAGGGCTATATAAATGAGGAATATTCTCATCAGAAATAAAATTATATGAAATAGTTTATCATGGAACAATATCTAATAAAAATTATATTTTAAAGATCATTATTTAAAAAGAATCATGAAAGATTTTTTATTATCTACCTCGATTGCATGTAAACAAACGAAGTATAGTCAACGTTATCAATATTCTAATACCACCGTCAGTTACAAAAGTCAGTGTATATGTTAAAGTATATGCTTTAACTAAAACGTTATTCAACCGTTAATTAGTTTTTTGAATAAAAATAATAAAAATCAATAATTACTCTTCTAATTTAATATTATTAAAAAAATTTACATCCTATTTAGTGGAACTAAAGGCAAACATTTATTTTAAAAGAAAAAGCGTAATTATTTATTAAATACAACAATTTAAACCATATATATTTCATTAGATTATTAGTAATTTTTAAAGTAATACAATAAAATTTATATAAAATAAAAATTGGAGTTTTCAAACTATAACAAGTAACTGAATTATTTTGATTTAAATATTTTCGAAATAAGTAATGATTACAGATTATTAACTTCTAATTAGTTTATTATTATTTCAATTATTAACATAATTTTCCATCTAAATTTATGGAACTTAGATAAGTGTATGAATAACTGTTTAAAAATTATTCTTGCTTGATAGAATATGGCTTCTATATTAGTTTAAAAGACTTTCTTTACATTCAAAATATTTTATTTTATAAAATAAAACTTAAATTCATTAAAATTAAAAATAATTTTCTAATTCAACTTTTCATTCCACATACTAGATTATGTTTGTTTAATTTTTTTTAAAGTAATTTTTACCATTAAAAATAAATAAGTATAATTTATAATTGACGTTTTCAAGTTTTTACAACAGCAGATTAATTATATATTATACAATTTGGTAAACATATTTATCCAAAATTATTATGTTGATTGTGTAAAATTTCATCCTTCATAATTTCAATTTGAAATACATGATTATAATACTTCTAATTTTTATTGAGTTATATTCTAGCATCTTTATTTATTCTGAACCGAACCTATTTTCTCTTAAAATGAATTGTCATGTAAATAATCTCAAATTATTATCATTAAATTTTGTTTTCTTAGGTAAAGTGATACCAAAATGGAAAATTCCAATGGTGAAAATATGAATGATTCTACTGATGTATTACAAAAAAATACTAATTCTATTGATAACAAAGAAAATGGAAATAGTAATGTAGTGGTACTTCAAGAAAAATATACTTCTCCAGTTAATGAAGAAACGCCGATAAAAGCTATTGAGAGTACTAATCCTGATGGAAATTGTTATTGGTAAGATGATTGTGGTAATAAATCAAAAGATTCTACCTTATATATAATGTCTATAATAAATAAAACTTTTTGTTTCTCAGACAGAATGTTAAAAATAAAATATATATATTCAAGCTTTTTTTTTTTACTCAAAATTCTAGAATGTAATTATTTTTTTAATATAATATTTATTTTTCTAGTAATAAAAATAGAAATTATAACCTTATAGAGTTACTTTGTGCAAATTGTAACCGCTGGTTTCATGAATCTTGTATTGGTTATCAAATGGGAAAATTAGTTCCCTTTATGGTCAACTATATATTCGTATGCAAAAATTGTTCACCAACAGGATTGGAAAGTTTTAGGAAAAATCCAGCTAGTTAGTTTTTTATTAATTTAATTTTAGTTGTCCTATGTTGGAATATTTTTTGTTATGTTTAAATGTTTAGTGTTTCCACAAATGTGTGTAACTGCAATTGGAAATCTTATGCAAGAAAGTAATAAAATTGGAAATCCTCAATTTTTTTTTTCAAGAGATAAAGACATTATTCCATTCATTGAATCACATTGGGAGAGTATGACAACAACAGCTAGACGAGTTACTCAATCCTGGCATTCAACTGTAACTTTTTTTATATATTATTATATTGAGTGTGTATTATTAAGCCATAAAATGTTTAAAAAGTTTAAAATTTAAAAACTGATTATTTATTAAGACAATTATATTGATATAACAATATATAGTAATAATATATTGTCTTTTTACTAATTTCTTTTTGGTTTTTGAAATGAAATCTACTTTCTTACACTTTTTTTTTACTTTGGATTATACAAACAAATTATATTGGCGGGTCCAAGAGGGTTCATAGTTTTTAGGTTAAAATATCATAATTTATTTGCTATTAATTTCGGGAGGATCAGATTCCATGAAGCTTAAAATAATGAAAATTAATTTCTAGTGTTTTTTACTTTAGTTTATGAAAATAAATAATATTAATATATTACTTTCATCTGATTGTTGTTTAACTGCTTAAAATAATAGTAAATTTAAAATATGCCCCTATGTTATATATATTAAATACATTCCTTCTATCTCTCTTTCACTTATTTATTCCTAATCAATAAATAAATTATTAGATTTGTAACTAAGTTCTTGCTGTTTGTTAATAGATGTCTCCAGCAATAAGTGCTTGTCACTTTTGACATATCTAAAACGTCATGAACCAAGCTAAGACTAATGGTAAACAAACTGATTTGACACATTAGTGATTTTATTGTGGTGTTATAGACTTTTAGTTGTATAAAAATGTCTGATTTTGTGTCAAATAATCATCGTTTGCAGGAAGTGTTACTTTTTTTATTTCATTCAAAGAAAACGGCAGATGAAGTGCATCAAGTTTAAAAAAGTTTATAGAAATGCTCTATGTGAAACAACATGCTATGATTGATTCTGTCGCTTTAAAAACAGTAATTTTGATGTTGACAACTGTCAAAGTTGTGAAGGAAGGCTAAAACATTTGAAGACACTGAATTGAAAGAATTGCTCAATGAGGATTCATGCCAAACACAGGAATACTTTGCTGGTAATACCTTCCAGGTGATTTCCAAGCAACTGCATGTGTTGGGAATGTTTCAAAAGCAATGGGATTCTTATGATTCGAATCCAAGGAATGTCAAGTGTAATTTTTTCGACTGTAAACAACTGCTCTAGCAGCAAATAAGGAAAGGGTTTCTTCATCGCATTATTACAGGTAATGAAAAGTAGATGCATTACAGCAACCCAAAGAAAGAAAGTCATGGAAACTGCCAAGTCATGCTTCCATTGTCAGTTTACCCGAGCAGAGATAAAGTGATTCTACTGCATGACAATGTTTAGTCTCATGTTTCCAACACCGTTAAAACCTACATGGAAATGCTTAAATGGGAAGCCTTACCTTACCTGCCATGTTATCCAGATATTATGCCGTTCAATTATTACATGTTCTATTTAATGTGCGTGGTCTAGCTGATCAGCAGTCCACTCATATGAAGACATTGAAAATTGGCTTCATTCATGGATAGTCTCAAAAAATGAACATTTTTATCGTAACAGTATTTAGAGCTCTGCCAGAAAGATGGGAAAAAGTTGAAGTTATTAATGGGCAATACTTTGAGTGATTTATATGTAACTATTTTTTAACAATAAAGTTACATTTTTATAAAAAAAAAAACAGCAAAAACTTAGTTGCACACTTAATATATTATATCTTTCTATATTGATTGAACAGAATCTATGAATAAGAATTATTTTTATTTCCATGAATAGAGAAAGAAATCATAAACATTTTAAGTTAATAATATGTTAATGTGTATTTTTAGATTACAAGATCATTAATTAAAGAGACAGATACTTTATTTGGAGTGCAAATTGATGAAAACGGTAGCCATATGTATAAGCTGTTGTGTGATATTTCTCAAATCAAACCAAACTATGAAGCTATGATTAAAGGAGGTCATTTAAAAGTTACTGAAACTGGAATACAACCTGGTAAATTTACTTAAGTTAAATTATTGAAATGTATTGTTTTTTTTTTCATTGTTATTATATTAATTTAAATACCACCAGTAAATTCAGGTACTTAAATTTTAATTTTTAATAAAAAATTACATTTCAGAAATGTATTTCATTTTTTACATAAAATGGCTTATGTAATTAATAAAATAGAATATAAGTTTCCTTTAATATATGTTAGTTCAATAAATAAAAAAACAAAAGATTATATTTTTATAAAAATCATTTATCAAAATGTTTTTTTATGAATGGTAGGTTTTTATACAAAATAGTTAGTTCAAATTTTAAAGTTATTTTTCTCGACTTCAAAGAAACAAAAACCTAGCACAGTGGGGTCACGGCATAGTGGAGACGTTGCAAAGTTGGGTCCAGTATAGATTTAATCTGACAGTGATTAAAATCACTATCATAAGAAACGCTTCGATGCAAATATGTAGATAGTGTTTAATTTTAAAAAATTGATGGATAATTGCAAAAGCAACATCAACTTCTATTAAAATAAAATACAAAACCCATAATTANGGATAATTACAAAAGCAACATCAACTTCTATTATTTCCTTAATTATACCCAGATTAGTAATTCTTTTAATTATATAATTTTTAAAATTAATTATTTTCAAATTATTATTGATTTTGATTTTTAATATGTTAAAAGTAATCATTTTGAACCTATTTTTTATTGTCCTTTTAAGTGAAAGTTTTAATAAAAAAAAAAAAATGAATTTACTACCGTAGTATTTAGCTCAACAATGCAAGTTTGAAATTGACAAAATTTTTAGAAAAATATGAAATTGTTAAGATTAATATGCAATCAGGAAATTTTATAATTACTAATTATAGTAAATTTATCAGAAAAGTTAGATTTTTTTACATTTTTATCGTAATAGATCACTTAAATAAAAATCATAGTAATCATTTCTAATTAACTTTTGGCTTTTAAAAAGATTCTACAATGGAAATATTGAGAATTTAATTAATTTTAATGATTATATATCTAAAAAAAATCAATAAAAAAAAAGTTATTCAATTTAGCCTATTATAAAAATAATAATTATAAAAAAATAGGGCAGTGTATTGCCCTTATAAGATATTTTAAAATAAAATACAAAACCCAGGATTTTAACACAAAAATAACATATTTTTGAATACGGTAGCCATTTGCGCATAGAAGATAGGTCGTCGGGACAAATTTTTTTTTTTAATTTTATAGTACATAAAATAAGCTTTAATTTGATATATGTTTAAAGGACGCAGTATTTCCGGAACATTTTCAAAAATTAAGTTGAAAAAGTTAGTTTTTGTAAAAAAGTTACTATTTTGAATCCCCCCTATGAGCAGAATAAGTGGTAGATTTTCAAAAAAATGATAACAAATGAAAATAAATTACATAAGGTTTCAATATAAAAAAATATTATTTTGATTTGTTAATATTTGAAAAAGTTATGGCAGTTTTAAGTACAAAAAACATCCTTATAGAAGGTGATTTAAATCGCAAATATTACATTTTTTTTTTTATTTCGACAGAAATTTACACATAGAAGATAAGGTATCAGGACAAATTTTTTTTTTCATTTTATTGTATATAACATAACCTTTGATTTGATATATGTTTAAAGGACGCAGTATTTCCGAAACACTTTCAAAAGTTAAATTAAAAAAGTTATATTTTTTATACAACAAGTTTTGAACGCCCCCTATATAAGGGGAAATTGTCCAATTTTAATAAAAAGTATGTCAAATGAAAGATGTACTTATAATGTATTTAGAAAAAAAAAATTTGTGCTGATAATTACATTTTTCGAAAAGTTATAGCATTTTTAAGTTAGAAATTTTAAATCGAAAATTTTAACATAATAATAGCGTTTTTTTAACTACGGCAGCCGTTTACATGCAGAAGATAAATTGTCAGGACAAATTTTTTTTTCCATTTTGTAGTACATAAAATAAGCTTTAATTTGATATATGTTTAAAGGACGCAGTATTTCCGGAACATTTTCAAAAATTAAGTTGAAAAAGATAGTTTTTGTAAAAAGTTGCTATTTTAAATCCTCCCCAATAAGCAGGTTAAGTGTTAGATTTTCAAAAAAATGATATCAAATGAAAGGGAAATATCTAAAGTTTTAGTATAAAAAAAAATTGTTTATTTTTGAAAAAGTTATGGAAGTTTTAAGAAAAAAAAGTGAAAAAAATGACAAAATTTACCGATTTTTAAATTTGTAATTTTTTTGGATATTTCCCCCATTTGCGGGGAACGAGGGAAAATTTTTCAATTTTTAAGGGTAATGTCTTCAACTAGATACGATTTGTGATCTTTTGACGTATCGTTAAAAGAAATCGGTCCAGTGAGAGCTGAGAAAAAGTAGTGACAGACACAAAAAAAAAAACAAAAAAAAAAATAAACACATCATGGTAAAATTAATACCTTCTCAGCTTCGCATCGAAGNAAAAAAAAAAAAAAAAACACATCATAGTAAAATTAATACCTTCTCAGCTTCGCATCGAAGCTAATAAATAAATTAATCAATTTTCTCTATAATAATTATTTATTGTTTTCATAAAATCACTACAAGGCTTTATTCTTCTACCCAATAAATTATATTTTTAAATAAAAAATCGAAGTAGATTTAATGAATTTACATTTTGATTCATTTTAATAAAAAAAATTAGAGTTTTTTTTCATTTTTTGATTTAGCTATAACAAGTGGTCTCAAAGGTCGTGGAGCTAAACGTAAAACAGTAAGTGATGGAATTAATGGTCCAGGAAGTGGAAAAAAAGGAAGAAGTGCTGGAGATCAGTCAAACATTAAATTACCTGCTCATGGATATCCATTAGAACATCCTTTTAATAAAGATGGTTATAAATATATTTTAGCAGAACCTGATCCCCATGCACCTTTTAGACAAGAATTTGATGAATCAAATGAATCTGCTGGAAAGTTAATACCAGGTTGGTTATATCGACCACTTTGCCCAAATCAAGTTCTGTTAGCATTACATGACCGAGCACCACAACTTCATGTTTCCGAAGATAGATTATCAGTAACTGGTGAAAAGGGTTATTGTATGATTCGAGCAACACACTGTAAATATTTCTTTACTTTTTCTGAATTAATTGATTAAAATAATAAAACTTCTTTAATTTTGAAATAAATATAAGTAATACTTATATGTACTATTTAATATTAACTATTGTAATATTTAAGTATATATGTATATTTAAATATTAATACATATAAAATTTTTAATTGAATTATAATAAAATTAAAGTATAAGACCTAAAATGTATTAATTTTTTACAGTACTACAGTTGAATCTTAATAATATTTAAACTAACTAGCTATTAAATTTATTTATGCTGTGGTAAATAATTTTTTCACTTTGAATTTTTGTTACATATGACATCACATTATACACACATTTAAGTTAGATTAAATAATGAAAATATATTATTTTTTAATTTAATAGATGTAAACAATGGAAATTGGTATTGGGAGATGACTGTCAATGAAATGCCTGAAAATTCAGCTTGTCGTATAGGATGGAGCCAAGAGTTTGCAAATATTCAAGCACCACTTGGGTATGATAAGTTTGGTTACTCATGGAGATCTAGGTAAGAATTTATTTATAAAATGCACCAGTCAGAACTAAAAACCTTTAATGATCATTTAGGAAAGGCACAGTGTTTCATGAAAGTAGAGGAAAACATTATAGTAATGGATATAGTGAGGGAGATACATTAGGTATGATGATATGTTTATCCAATGATAATTTACAACTACCACCAACTCATAAGAATTTGGTAATTTATTTTAGGTTTATTATTTTTAACTAAGAGAAAATCACCTATAGCAGCGATCCCCACCTCAATTTTATAAAGAGCCAAATAATATTTCTAGTAGTTATTGTAGTATTTTTAACATAATAAGTTTTTAAAAGTAAATGAAAAAAGTGGCTATAAGAAGTAACTACCCATTACTTTTATGTTAGTGTTCTAATCTCTAACCTTCATTGTTTCACGTCACTTATCGGACAAAAAAAAATGAAATTAAAACAGATTTAACTTCAATTATTTAATTAGATCACTTGCATTAGTTTAACTTACAAAATTTTTAAATTATTTTAGATCCTAATTAAATTTAAAAGTCATCTATATTATGAAGAACAATCTCAAGACAGTACAAGGGATGCATTGAAAAGCCTTAAACCTCTTGTTGGTAGCAAAATAATTTACTATAAAAATGGTGAATGTTTAAATGAAGCAGCTCTTGATTTATATGAAGGAAAATACTATCCAACTGTATCTTTGTACAAAAATTGTACAGTATCTGTTAACTTTGGGCCTGATTTTAAGTATCCACCACCACAAACTGAAAATTTCACGTATAAAGGAGTAAGTTAGTTTTATCCATGTTGATTTCATGATAAGCTAATGGATTAAAAAAAAATTTTTAGTTATGGGAGAGAGCTGGTGAAGCGATATGTGAGCAAACATTAGCCGACATTGCTTATCTTACTATCAATGAAGGAAAATTAAAATTGAGTGATATATAATACAAAATAATATTTCTATAAATATTAAAAAATAATTGCATAATTTGCCTAAGGTGTATTTTTTTATGTATAATTGTTAAATAATGTATTTGTTAAAAAAAATTGACTAAAATACTAAAATTTCTATTCATTTTTTAATAATCAAAAATTTTTTTTATTAATTCATATTAAAGTTTAAACAAAGATAAATTAAATCCTCAATTTTAGATTTTAACTATTTCCTCTTTACTTAAATTATGAAAAAAAAGTGCAATGAATGAAAAAAAATAATATACATACATTTAAAACTCATTTTAACATTTTAAAATGAAAAACATTTGAACTATAATTTATATAAAAACAAAATAAACAATTTTATTTAAGACCTCATTCTTGCGATGACTACCAATCATAAATAATAAGTATATCTCTGTATATAGTAAATATTGTTTAATTATTAATTTTTATAAAAGTAGTATAGAAATATACTAAAATAAATATTTTAAATCTATATGATTCTTAACCAATTTTTTTAATTTTATAAATACTAAAATTTTAGTTAAAAATGTTGTTGGTTGTACTCATGGGATCATAGTGGAAGGAATAACACTATTAGGTGTCCAAAAGTATAACTAATCAAAATTTTGACTAGTAAAAAACAAAATTTCTGCTATTGAGGTTTCTTAATTCAAATTCGACATTAATTTTTGCGCACTACCTTTAAACAGAATATTTTTGTCATCACCCAGTAATTGTACAAACATTTTTTTTTATTAATATTCACTTTTAATAGTACAATTTTCTACTTTTGTCTAGTGATAACTTATATTACATCAAATAAACAATCAATAATTTAGGTAGAGAAGTTTAAGTTTATAGGCATATTAGTATATCAAATTAAAGTATACATAAAAATGACTTTTAAGAGGTTCTAAAAGTATTTTATTAGGTGAAATTAAAAATTAATTACTCAGTTACATAAAGTCTAAATCTTGTGTATATTTCAACTGAAATTCTTATATTAAAGTAAAAACCTTCTAAAATTAAATTTGACTTGTCTATTTTAATAAATGCTTAACATTTTTTAGCTTTTATCCAGCATATTTTTTTAAAATTAAAGTACTGTAGAAATTATTTTTATAAATGTTATATAAATGTAATAAAAAGTTAAACTTATTTAAATTTTTTTGCCAATGTCTATTTTCTATGTTGAGAAAAAAAAGACTGAATATTTGAACTACATTTGCCCAATTTATCATCCTGTAAATTATTGTACAATTACCAAAATTAGGGAGGAAAATTACTCATAATATTTTTCTCAAAAATATTTATTTTGATTTTAAACATATTAAATCATATCCAATTTTAAAAAAAATTTTAAAAATAATTTTTAATTTTTAATTTGTATGTTTTCCAAGAGCATGAAAAAAGATTGGGGTCTACAACTCCTACCTTATCCTAACTAAAAAAATTTAATATAAAATTGTTTTTTTTTTTTACACACGTTTGCTAAAAAAGTTACGAAATGTACAACTACTTTATATTTTTTATGATTTCTCTGTAAAAATTAGAATTCTAAATTATTAAATATCAGTTTTATAATATATTTGATTACTATAATGGATATTTATTTACATATCATAGAACTACTAATCAGGATATAGTTAAGAAAATAGGACTTGCTTTTGTAATAATTAAACAATTCTTAAAATTAAACACTTAATAGTGATTTTAATTGAAGCGTTTGTTATGATAGTGGTTTTAATCACTGTTAGATATAATCTATACTTGTCCTAACTATACCATGTTCACACTAGTCTGTGACCCCTCTGTGCTACCATTTTTTAAATTTTAAATGTTCACAACTTGGTGAATCTTTATAAGCATAAATGAAATAATTAAAGCATTAATTTATCTATAGATAAATTAATTCTAATTTTGTTACATTTCATTGTAATGATATTTATTAAAATTATGGCCATTCACATCATTAAAATTAATCAATTTTATTATTTGCGCTATATTTATTATCATCTAGTACCTACTTATAAATATTAGTAATAATTTTCACTTCTAATGATCGTAAAATTTTTAACTTTTGGGCAGCTAGAACTAGTATTCCTTTCACTGTGTGTCGCGAGTAAAAATGTTAGTCTATAATGGATTAAAATGAATAATCTTTTAAGTCCTAAACAACTAACATTGCTAACATTTACTTTTTTGTTGCAAATAAAGTTATAGTAAGCTCTTTTCTTTATAGAGGAGAAAACAATTTCACACATTTTTTTTTAAGTATACATAAAATTGACCACCTAGACAAATTTCATTCATACTACAACAAATTCAAATATTTTATATGCATATATAGAACAGACCTTATTTTTAAAGAATAATATCGAATTAAATATATAAATTTTATTTTATTCTGAGTAAATATTTTTACAAATATCTAAAAAACTGAAAAAAAAAAATTAAATTTTTTATAAATTAAGAAAATGACTATAATATTATAATTTCCATAACTGAACTATGGAATTTCCGAGACCATCACCATTAAAAATAAGTTTCAAAAATCCAGCAAGAGTTAGAATTGCAGCTAAAGTAACTGCAACATGTCCAACTTTATTAGCTAATTGGCCAACTACTGGTACTCTCAAGTAATCTATAACTAAGGCTTCTAACCCCCTGAAATACAATCATTTTTTAATGATTATTTTACTTCATTTCGTTTAATAAAATTATATCAAATTTACCAATAAACATGTAAACTGAGACTGGTAGCTAATAATGTATCAATAATTGGAGATGAATATATAATTGCAGCTGGAAATAAGGGTAGTAATGCAATAGATACAATACGTTCACCTTTCCATAAACTAGCATAGTTTTTTTCACTTTTAGTAGGTGTAGCAGTACTGGTAAAACGAGTTAGTATTGGAGAACATACTAATGGTTTCTAAAAAAAAAAAAAATGATAGACACCAATTTAAATAATCTTAAAATATATTGTATAAAGGATGTTTTACTATTAATGATTTTTGGCTTATTTGATTCATTTTGTTAAGTTGTTTTATGGTATTAGGTAAAACACAGTATGAAAATTGCCTCTGAGAAAATAACAAACCTAAAATATTGACATAATTATTAAAATCTATTTACCGATACTGAATACTATTGATTTATAATTTACTTGTTTTGTTAGTATAACGTAATACTTTAAGAGCCAACATTTTAAAGAATATTGATTAATAACTTATTAAGTAGCAATAAAGTATTTAATATTATTACTTTAAAATCAAACTCAACATAAATATCTTTTACTTAATAATCACCGAAAATTTTAAGCTACATTTCACAATAATTTCAATCATATGATTTTTATTTTTGATAATAGAATTATTATGTTTTAGAAAAAATGGCAATTCGATGTACTAGTTGTTAGTTGAACGAGCATAAATTCTATTATATTAAAAGTATTTCTACCCGAAATAATTTTTTGTTTGACTGAATTTTTCTAAATAGATTTAATATAAATGATATAGTCTATAACTATTCAATTTGAATATAATAATTACTTTTAAATAAAAAAAATTGGTTTATGATTAGAGGTAAATGAAATAATAATCAAATAACTTTTTATTAGTCCTATTTACCGCCAAAAATTTTTTCTTCAATCTTATCAATTTCAATTTTCAAAGAATGCTAACAAAAAATATATAGTATTTTCTCATTTTTTTGGTCTTTTTTTTTAATTTTTAGTAATTTCTAAAAGTTTTTTTATTCGAATAAATATTTAATCATGATAAAATGTCGGTTAATTTATCTGATTCCGTCGTTTACTGTCGGTCCTACAATAGACAAATATCTACAGCTGTCACGCCTAAACGTGTTTCATTTTATGAAGATGTGAAGCCTATTGATGTACCTCTTGTTCAGGTCACAATGGCGAATCATGGCGAAAGAGGAAATCCAGAGGGTCAAGAAGATCCACATTCACGAGAATTACTCTCTAAGAAAAATCCAGTTTTAAAACTGAAAGAAAAAAGAAGATCGTTGTACATGAATAAGTCCATTGATGATAATGCTCAACAGGTTATTTCAAGCTTAATTAAATCAGAGGTAGAAAAGAAAGAATGGTACTATAGATGGAATAAACATATAAATTTAGAATCGAGTAAAATTACTGATATCATAAAGAGAGATTTATTTTTATTGGCCAATGAATCTATTTATAAAGTAATTAACATACTTTATGACTAAAAGCTAATATATTTTATGTTCAATTATTAATACACTAATATACAAATATTTTTCAATGTTGTGATAATTTTTTTTTCAGGTATATAAAATGTTGAGCATTTGTGGATCTCCTTTATTAATTATTATAACAAATATAAGATTTTGTGTGTTAACCAAAAACATTCATACCAAACGTTTAGAGTTTAGCTATAGCTCTCATTTTAAAAATTTAGATGTAATTATTATGGGACCTAATGAACAAACTGCTATATTTATCAGTGAAAAATCTAAAAAATTTACCCTTATAACTGCAATTGATACACAAACTGCTACTGAAATGATTGGTAGTATGGAATATTCTTTTAGAAAAAGTGGATTTTATGAACCAAATAAAGCTTTCGTTGTTATACATGTCTATCATAATGAAAAACTTTATGAAACAATTAAAAATTGTGTATCTTTGGCTAAGGTAACTATTACCAACTATTTTTATTAATTTGTAAGTAATATTTAAAAATAATTTTATTATTTAAAATATTGTATTCATTTTAGGAAGATATCTTTAAGTATTACACATGGTTATGGTGCATTAAAGAAACTGAATCTATAGTTTCCACACCACCATACATTGAAGAGTTTTTAATGGTGAAAAAAAATTCTCTATGGAATCCTATGTTCGTATGTTTGAGGTAAATGTTTTATTAAATTATAAAAAGTAAAATATAATGGGGATCCAATAAAGTGAAATTGAGGCAATTTTTTAGATTAGTGTTTGATATCTGACAGTGAAATCATTGTCATAAAATGCTTTGATGCATATTTGAAACATATTTTTAAAAAATGTGACATATCTACCAAAAATTAAATGGTTTTTGACTTATGAAGTTGAAAAATAATCCATTTAGTTTACAAAAAGTTTTTTTAATATAAATTGAAAACTAAAAATATCAACATTGATGTTTTATGACTATTTTTGTAACATTTCTCTTTATTACTGGGATTGATTGAATTTTTTTATAATTATGACACTGCTAGTTCCAACTAAATATGTTTAATATCTTTTGACATATCATTGAGCAAAATCAGTCTAGTAGAAGTGAGAGTAATGTCTTATAGGAAAAAAAAACGAGTCATAGTAAAACCAATAGTATTGTTTTCGCTACACATCAAAGTAAATAAATTTTTATTTAATCTTGTGTTATGTATACCCATATGAATCTAAAAAGAAGTTGGATTTAAAAATAAAGTAAAATACTATTGTAAAGTTAATATTATGTAATATGTTAAAATTTAGTATATTGTAATATCTCTTACTATATAAATTTTTATTTTAGAAATGATATTTTATATATCTTTAATGATTCTTCAAATGATTTACCAATTGAAACTATACCATTAAGATTTGGTCGATGCAAAAATATTAGACAAATTAATTGTGATCGTCCATACTCAATTGAAATTACATTGGTAAATTGTTCAATTATTTTTGCTACAGCAGATTGTCATCAAGAAGAAAAATGGTTGAATGCATTAAACTATATTTTTTTTGAAGTAAACTATAGTTTTTCTATTATATTACTTTATTTATATTTTAAATTATAATATATATA